CTCCTCCTCCTCCTCCTCTTCCTCTTCTCCCGACTCAGCCTTCCATCCTTCCGAGGTGGGTAAAATGAGGACCCAGATTGTTGGGGGCAATATGCTGACTCTCTGTAAACCGCTTAGAGAGGGCTGAAAGGCCTATGAAGCGGTATATAAGTCTACTGCTATTGCTATTGCTATTGCTATTCAAGAAGACATCCCTAACAAATATTACCCCCAGGTGTCATAACTAGATTGAGCAGAAAACAAGAAATGAAAACTTTTCTAAATGCATTTAAGAAGCAGAAGTGAAGGAACATGATTCTGCAGTCCTGATCTGCTGTGGCAGGTTCGTGTTCTTACACAGAGAAAGTTAGAAAGGCCAAAGCTCAAAATGAACCATACTTGGTAAAGGATGCTAGAACTACTGTGTTTCCCCAAAAATAGGACATGTCCTGATACTAAGCCCAATTGGGATTTTCAGGGCATGGTCTAAAATAAGCCCCCCCCCCCCCAATCACAGCAAAAAAAGCACCTGTCCTGCCTTGTACCCCACCTGCCACGTGACGTAAAAAAACCGCCGGAAAGACAAGCTTTTCTTCCCTCCCTTCTGTGTCTGTCTCACTCTGAAATCTGGAAGTGAAGCTTGGGAGGGAGTCGGAAGTGCTTTCTCTTCATGTTGGTAGAAGAACTCGATCCACGCCGCAGGCAGGCAGATAAGAGAAGGCCTTTCCTGTGAGTCCAAGTCATCTTGGATGGTTTTAGCCTGGGTATCCACTCTCTCCTCCCAGCGCACGGCTGATGTGCATGAAGATGGGGTAGCTTTTCTACACTGACTCCTTTTTCTCCAGCTACAGCCAGGACTACAAGGCGCTGAAGTCAGGCATGGCTTTGAACCTGTCGGCTGAGCTGTTCCTCAGCCTGAAATCCCAGCTTCCCCATCACCTTCATGGCCAACAAGACAGTCCCACTGGCTACTTCCCGGGCTCACTTCAGCAACAATCGGCCAAGGCCATATTTCGAGGGTCAAAAGAAAATAAGACTCTGTCTTATTTTTGGGAAAACACTGTATCTTTTATATATAGCCCTAAATGAGTTGTTGACTCCTGGAGACTACTTTGTCTAGGTACTGTTTTACAATATCTCTATTTTCTTTCAATTCATGCATATAATGAATCCTATTGGATAAAATCATTTATATATATTTTTGTTAACTGAAAATGATACAAGAATTTTAGTTCCTTTAATTTTTTTAAAAAGCTGTAAGCTGAACAAATATTATCTATATAGTAGTATTTGTTCCTTAATCTTTTTCATTTAAATATAATTCAACTCATACTCATTAGAGCGACATACATTTAAATTTCAGAGTATCACGGCATACAAGTGCACTAATGATGTTACCTAGTTTGGTAACGAAATGTCTACAAGAAAACCACCAAGTTCAGACAGGACCAAGACTCCACACAGAGAAATTTCTTAGGAGTAAAAATGCCCTAAATAAATTTAAATCAGACTGGCAAGTGACATAATAATGACTAAAAGTCTGTTTCTGAAATATGGAAAGCCTTTTAAAGTTTCTCTGGATTCAGAGCAGTAGATAGCACAAATGTAGGAAACAATACAATTCAATCATATTCAGCTCACCTTGAATGCCAGGTGTTCCATAAAGTTCCCAACTCCATTATTCTTCTCAGTTTCATAACGACTTCCTATGTTAATCCATACTCCAACCTGATTAAAAAAAGAATTTATTAAATATATTAAATATCAGCTTCATAGGAAATAATCTGATAATGTATTTACATTTTTGTACCATTGCTTTTTTCTAATTTTGTTTGATAGCCAGTGTCAATGAGATGGGCAGACATACAAATTGAATGAATTATAATAAACTACTGAAAGCAAGAGCTTCAACTACATAGAGAATAATCACCCTTAAATCCCCATTGTTGTATATAATCTTGCCATTTAAGTAACTTTCCTTAATTTGCCTAGAAATATAGAAACTGTATGTGTCAGTACCAAGGCAGGGTTCTTTTCGGTCAACAAATCAAAATCTATATTGATTTGTTGACCAGGATTTGGCCTAAAAACCAAAGGGAGGACAATCCTATGCTGAGGTACATGAGGTTTCAGTAAGCTCCCAAAATGTGCATGTGACAGACTGACCTTCCTCTTGACCAATTCCATGTGGAAAATTTCCCTTCCATATCAAGAGTATGGCAAGTCATTGAGAAGGTTTCAGATCCCAAGTTCCATCTCTGAATATTGCTGAATTGTATCTCATAGCTACCCCAGTTAACATGGCCAATGCATTCGACAAATCCTATCAAATCCCAGTCATTCAACAAATCCTAATGCAGTCCTGAACCTGCATTCCTTCTAATACTTTTAGATCTTGTATAATTACTATACCTTTTAAAATATTTTTTTTTACATTAACTATAGCTGCACTATATTATAAGCATACTTCGTTGATAGTGTGGATTGAGTTCCAGACCACTGTAATAAGGTGAGTATCACAATAAAGCAAGTCAAAGAATTTTTTTTGTTTCCCAGTGCATATAAAAGATATTACACTATACTATAGTCTAAGTGTGCAATAGCCATACCTTAAAAAGATACAAAAAAAAGAGAAAAGAAAAACAGGGGAAGAAGAGGGGAAGAGGAATAAGTGCAAGAGAAGAAAAGCACCGACTCTGATTCTTTTTGGTGCAGTAAAATAAGGTAATAACATACAACCTCAATTTGTTACTTTTACATAATAATATATATTAGCCATTTTAATAACAACCTAGCTAATTAGCAAAATGCAAAATCAAGTTTCATTTTTTCCCTACCTCAAGAACAAAGTGAAAAAGTGGTTTCCAAATAGAAATGAAATTAATTGTATTCGTTAATCAAAACAATCAATTTAGCCATCTCTGCTAACTTCATCAATGTTTGCAGCCATTCAACCATTGAAGGAATCAAAGTATCCTTCCAGTTTTGTGCATAGTCTTTCTGGTATCAGCATATACAGTATAACATCATAGCTCCATTTTTTCCAACTTCTTTATCCATTAAGTGAAAAAGAAAAGTTTTATCTTTATATTCACTTTGAGTATTAAGATGTGAATACTACACAGTATTACTTTGCTTTATCACATGTCCCCATAAAAGATAAAAGGTTCCTTCGTTACATTCACATTTCCAACATTCATTTGAAGTATCTTTATAGATTCTTGACAATTTATTTGGCGTTAGAATAAGCAGTTTGAATGTTATTGAAATGGTATTAATGTAAATTTTAAACCTGTCCACATGGAAAAACATTTTTCTCATTGTTCAAGCATTGTATTATATCCAAAATTCTTTGCCCACTGAATCATACAATGCTTCATATAGGATTAGGATTTATTTCATTTATATGCCGCCCTTTTCCCCGAAGGGGACTCATATATACTCATTCTCCAAGTTCAATTTCAATAGCAATTTATTAAGCTTAACAATAATATGTTCAACAGACTTTCCAATAAAATATTGGAAATTTTGATATTCTACACTGAAAGAATTCTACCAAAGAAGACCTGTGCTAGCAGAAATTTCAAAGTAACGTAAAGCATGCTACAAATTCACAACATGAAATTGCAAGTCTAGCTGAGCTTCGTAACTGCTCTATCTGAATTGAAAATTAATTATAGAATACACTAGTGAGTGTATTCTATAATATAACTCACTAGTTAGACATTAAGAAAATAAAAGCAGGAATTGTAGCCATCTACAGGATAACGACCAAGCTCAGAGAACTCCATAGTGATCATGTTTCAAAAATCTTTCTGCTATCTTGGCTTTTCTACTGTGGAATCTCTGACTTCTCTAGAATAAAAAGTATAGATTATATTTCTCTGAATAGCTTGGAAGCAATAAAAGATTCACCTGGGATTCTGCTATTCATTAAGTTGGTTTTAGAACTTTCAGTTTGAGGGAAAGTTATTTTATTTTGGAAATATATAAATGTAATCAGTCTAGCCACTCTATGCATCTGATGAAATGAGCTGCAGCTTAAGAAAACATACCTTTTAATAAAAGGTTTTACTAGTTTCCTTCCATTAAAAATATCAAGCCTGAGTTGAGTCTAGACCCAATTGAAAAAACAGGAATTCCAACATTAAAAAAAAAAAAACTTACTGTACATGTAGGGTGGTTTGACTTTTCTGATGCTATTTGTAAGCCGTTGTCTAAAGTAGTAACTTCTGTCTCAGGAAGATTGGCTAGCACATTAGCATAGGTTGCAGTACTTCCTCTTTTCACCAAGCCCTGCAAGGATATCTAAAATAATATTTATTAATTAATACAATATAAAAGAACAAACATATATATTAAAATTATAGAATACCTATAACAAATTATATTTTATTCTGGGATTATATATTTCAACCACAGTGTCTTATGTGTAAGTTATGACACAAATCAAAAGAGTAAGAAAAGGTTTTTTTTAAAAAAAATCAGGCACCAAAGTCTATGGAAAAGGAATACATTAACTAAACATTAATAGCACACAAATATATGAGACTTCAGAAGCTATACAATAAACTGCAATTATACTAAAAAGTCATAATTATTAAGAATGACTTTGAGAAGAAAATTAATGAATATTTGAACACAATCTTGTATTTCTCTCTGATGAACAAAGGACAATTGGAAAATAATTTTAGTACATATCCTCCTGAAGCAAACCAAAATAAAATTCACCTTACAATGCAGAATAATTTGCAGAATAATAATTTAATGCAAGAATATTCACTAAAAGTAATCCTTTCAAAACAAAGATCTATATTTCCAAATTGACACAAAAATATAAATATATTATTCAAAAATATGAACACTATATGACACAAATATATGAACATAAACAAATTTGCACATTTCAGATTTTTTATATAATTGCTCTGATACTTTCCAAATTAAATAATCTAATAATCTAATCTAATGTAGGATATAATATTAACAAAGCCTATATGATTGAGTTTGGGTTCATGCAATGTGCTAAAACCTTGCTCATTCATTCATTTGAATGACTAAAGCCACCTTGGGTAGATTCAAAATCAAACGTACAGATTATACCTTACAGTATGTTGTATGTTCGTACAGTACAAATAGTTCTAAGATTCCCTAACAAGATTCATATCCCAATTTTCAAATCAATAACATATCCATATATTCCTTAATACCTCCTTGATAGTAGCTGCAACTTTTTCCAGACCGAACTGTCTGACCAGTAAAGGCTGAATTAAAAGGGGCAGAGATTTTATTATCATCCATTCCTTCTGCTATTGCTGACTGCTAGCTGCCAGCAGTTTGGCAGTTCAAATCTCACAGGCTGAAGGTTGACTCAGTCTTCAATCCTTCCGAGGTGGATTAAAATGAGGACCCAGATTATTGGGGGCAATATGTTGACTCTAGAAACCCATTAGAGAGGGCTATAAAGCACCACGAAGTGGTATATAAGTCTAAGTGCTATTGCTACTTCAAAATTTCTACTTACTGTATCTTTTCAAACAGGTCTTCGGCTAGAAATATGTGGCAATTAGGCCTGAATTCAACAGTGGAACAAAATAAGGCAGCATATAGAGAAACATTAGCCTTAAGAAATAATGTCCCTTGGCTGTTTCCTCCTATGTCCAACTCACCCACTTGAGCTTTTATTTCCATATTCTTGGAATTGTAACACCAGCAGAAACTTAAATTGTCCTATAATGTACAGACAACAGAAACCTGCTTGAAACACAATAGCTGTGTTGCGGCAACTGCTTTCCCCTTGCCTTTTTTGCATCCCCAATAGCCTAATAGATTTGAGCTGCAGTCACCATGATTTTCACAGCCCGGCTTTAATATTACTATCCCATGCTAGGATATAAATGAACAATAATAGTGATGCGCTGGTCTGCAGGCTAAGGGGGTGAAAACTGCCCCCTTTCAACATTTGGAAACAAGTCCTAATGTCCCCATTTATTCGAATCCATTTCATGTATTCATAACCATGTTTATACTTATATCTGTTATCTTATACATGCTTGACAAATAAATAAATAAATAAATAAAAGGTTTGGGCCATGCTCTCCAGGCACTGTCACTACTCCTCAGCTGCAAAAACAAGCTGCCCCACATGCTGGCGAGGGAAGGTGGGATGCTTCATCCTTAAACGGGGCCAAGGAACTTCGCCGTCTGTCCAGTGGCTCTCATTTACCACGATCTGCTTGGCCAAGGAAAAGCTAAAACGTACAAGGAAAGGCTCGTCCCAAAAGGTGCCTTTTTTTTGGTCCCAAAGCACCTTTGGGACACCCTGGATGGCTGAGAATCTCCATAGAGATATGAGCTTGTCGATCAAAGGTCGCCAATTCGGATCCCTAGTACAGTTCTCCTGCATGAGCAAGGGGTTGGACTAGATGACCTCCAAAGTCCCTTCCAACTCTGTTACTGTTTACGTTAAGGAAAGGCTCGTCGCATTACCGCCCAAAGGGTAAACGCTGGAGCAGAATGTCTCAAAGGGTTTAAATATCTGCCCGTATTTTATTTTTATTTTTTTCCGGAGAATGCCCGTTATTCGGACCGAGGAAGCATTTCTCCCGACCGCCCTTTCCTTCCTGTGACCTTCGCGGACGATGAAGGAGGCGACGCAGACCCTGGCGGACTCCGCCCGTCTTCCCCGATCGGCTTGCTTCCCCCTTAGGCACCCCTCCTCGCCCCTTTGCCAGGGATCCAACCGGGCACCGACTCACCGGTGCGCAAGAGCCCCGAAGGAGAGCCCGGCTAGCAACACAGCCCAGAGCCCGGTACACCGACCCCGCCGCCATCTTGCCCCTGACAGGAAGGCCAACTGCGCCTGCGTACTGCGTGAGGTCCAGGGAAGCGCAGGCGCAAGTTCCAAAGGTGGGGGGAGGTGGGCGGTCCCTAAGAGGAGGAAGAAGCCTCTTGTGCTAAGGCAGAGGTCTTCAAACCTGCCAACTTTAAGACTTGTGGACTTCAACTCCCAGAATTCTCCAGCCAGCATCATCATCATCATCATCATCATCATCATCATCATTAGAAGCGCGAGTCTGTGAATGGTTATAATTCTATCATGCTGTAGCTCCTCCTGATCTTGGTGACCCATGAGATCGTTGACATTTTTGAATGAGAAAAACAAAGTGGATTCAATGTTAAATCAGAACTGTTGATAAAATCTAGGATAAAACTATTGATAAAATCCCCCTCAAAACAAAACAAAAAACAGAAAAAACATCAAGGTCAGCGAAGACATGATTGGTCATTCTTGCTAGCCCAGTCTATATTTTCTATGATTTTTTTTTAAAAAAAAATTCTTCCTTGTTATTTATATGCATAGATTTTTTTAAAATATGAATTACTTTATCTGGGCTGTGCTAATACTTCACATAATCTTTTTTTTGTTTTGTTTTGAGG